CATAAACTGACCCAGCAGGAACTCAAGCTGAAGTCTCAAGCCCAGGAAATCCAACAAAAGGTGAATCCTGGCTTGTAAATGAGAGTTCACAAATGTGAATGTGTACTGAGTCTTGAAGTATAATTTTTTGGCTTCTGAAGGAGGCTCGACTCCCAATCAGAGAGAGAAGTTAGCCAACAGGTAGCTGGAAAGGGGTGGGTGGGTGGAGAAAAAATGGATGCAAAACTGTAAGAGGTGTGTGCAAACATCCTTCAGTATATTATAGCGAATGTCAATAATGATTGTTAATTAGAACAGTTGGGTTGGCTGAGATGGGCTTATCTGTTGTTATCCCTCCCGAACCAGTTAAGAATTTCCATTTATTGTGTTTATGCAAATTAGCTGTTGCATACACAGATAACATCCAAATAAGTGAACATGCACATGCATATATAATTACTAATTTGAATTATTAATAATAATATCTGCACAGCTGATCTCTTATCTGATTATTTTCAATAACTGCTCTAAGCCTCTTGTAATAGGACCTCGCTTTCACTTCTTGTCCAGAACGTAAAGCAGAAGAGGGTTCTGTGGCTCGAGAAACTGAGCAAAATGTGAGAGGAAAATGGTTGGCTAAGTTAATGCTGACCTTCAGGGCTTCCCAGTATGATTTAATAGCTCAATACTGAGAATGAACTTTTAACAGAGCAGTTTGGCTGGTCACATGTATTCAACTTGAAATCAGTAATTCAATGGGAAATACCAAGTCTAAGAAATTCAGAGTTTTAAGGATTCACATTATATACGAACATTATATGTGAACATGTATGTACATAGCACATACCTGCACACATGCAGTAGAAAAACCTCACGGGGGAACATGCAAACTCCACCCACACAGACACACCAGTCCAGAATCAAATGCAAGACTCAAGATTTGTGAGGCAGCAGTGCTGACCATCACCCCTCAGCAGCATAAATGAGTAGCTGGAATGATAAACACTGTAGATTTAGTGGATACTGTGCATACACCTAAAAAATGATCTATCGTTGACTGATAATTTTACCACATGCTGAAAATATGTCACTAAGCATCACTTGAATGAAAGGTCTGGCCAGTATAAATCCTGTGTAACTGTGATTAAGATTAAATATCCTCTTTTGTCTATATTTTTGTACCCTCACCGAACAGGAGAAATTGATTGTGGTTCTCAAGGAGAAGGTCAAAATTCTTCAGAATTCTAAAGGTATTTTTTCCTCAAAATATCATTATAAAATAAACCAAAATAAAATTATAGTATAATATTACTATTAGAGAGAAATAAAAAGATATGAAAATAATGAAAGCTTCTGAATAAATACATTTTCTTGTTCCTGGGTCTACTAATGAGTAGCAGGTGAAAATGTTACAAGGGAAGGATGTCAGATCATGAAGTTTGTTTCATTATTTCCGTATAACTCTCTTTTTCTATCTTTGTCTCTCAAGCAAGTTCCTTAGATCAACATTGTTTTTTTTTACTGAGGGGAATTCCACAGCTTATTTAAAATGGGGTGTGTAACATGCATGTAGGGCAGGAAATAGAGCACAGGCACCACAGAGCACGTATTTACAATTGATCCATTTTGTGTTTTTGAACTTCGGGACATTTTAAACAAATCCAAAGCTCTCCTCCTTTGTGTAAAACAAATCAGGACAGATTCAAGCACGATTTAGTCATTTTATTCCTAAATTTGGGGATTAAAATTCTCTCAGATATAGCAGCACATACCCATTAGGTACAGTTTTAATTTGATCGAATCGCCTGTCTCGTTCAGAGAGTTATAATTTCTTACCCCAGGTTATGTGTTACTCATTGATCCTACATGTTGACTTTCCCTAGAGTATTTGTCTTATGGCCATCCATTGGTCTACCATCATGTTGACTTCAATATCCTTATGTTCACCTCTAAGGCTCTACACTGGTTGGCACCTCAGTAACTGTCTGATTTACTATCTTTTCCTCAGCAGTGTAAGGCATTATATAATATCTCCAGCAGTAGAAGGCAACACTGGAGAAATATTTTTTTTCCTTCTAATTTCTAGTGTAGAAGCAACCCCTGTGTGTTTCTTTGCAGCTTGTACGCTGACACAGCTCCTCACTCTAACCTCTACCTATTTCTAATGTCAGGTTGAGGGAGTTGCTCAATATGGCATTAGAGCATGATTCACAAGCTCTCACACCAAGCAGCACAAAGAGCCTCAGAATGTGAAGAAGCTTGTCCTGTGAATACAAATGCAAATCAAGCTGCAGTTTATTTTTATGCACCAGGAGCTGACACCTTTAATTAAAAATATCCCATTTGTTTTTGAATAGACCCGATCACAGACTCTAACACAACTGAAGAGCTGGAGAAGAGGTGCCTTCAGCTGCAAAACCAAGTCTGGGAGATGGAGGTGAGATCACTTGTGTTACCATAAACGTACCCATGTTACCACACGGCTCACAGGTGTGTTTGAATTTCTTGGTGCAGAATTAAAGGCATCCCTTAACTCAATTGGGGAGGTAATTTCTCACTTATCTATCTGATCTGCAGATGTAGATCACGTGGTTGAATTTTTCTGTCTACGTTGAAAAATAGTATAGATTTGCATGGAATTATTATTGTAAATAATATTATTAAATAATAAATATTATTTATACTTATATAGCACTTGTCTGTACAATCCACTCAATGTGCTTTACAGGAAAAGGGGACACCCCTGCACCACTACCAATGTGTAGCCCCCACCTAAATGGTACAACAGCAGCAGTGCAAGTGCACCAATACGCTCACCACATATCTGCTTTCACTGGGGAGGAGAACAGAGTGATGAAGCCAATTCAAACATGGGGATTATTAGGCTGCAATATTAGGCTGATTAGCAAAAGCCAGGTACAATTTGGCCTGGACAACAGGGTTAACACTCTACTCTTCTTGAGAAACACCCAGGGATCTTTAATGACCACAGAGAGTCAGGACCTTGGTTTTATGTCTCATCCGAAGGACGGCACTTTTTTTTACAGTATTGTGTCCCCATCACTATACTGGGGCATTAGGACCCACACAGACTCTAGGGTGTGCACCCCCTACTGGGCCCACTAACACCTCTTTCAACAGCATCCTTAGCTTAACTATATTATTATTATTTCAGAGCTGGATCCCAAAGGACAGTAAGAAAAGGCACAAAGGCCTGCAATGCTACCTTATGAATCATGGTGATAAAAACAGGATTATCCACCTCTAACAAATATAATCCCTCTGCACTGTTGGAATCTCTTTCCTCAGGAGACGTAGAATGCTAGAGGGGAAGGGGAGTGCTTTGCATTTCAGGGGAGAATAAAAATTGAGAATCCTTTGTGTTTTGGTTTTGGTTTTGCAAATATACATTAACATATGTGAGAAGGCATGTACTCAGCTTAGGAAAATACCGTACGTGCAAACATGCAAAAATGACAGGTTTCACTGTTCCTCATTTTCACCCCCCCAGAATTTCCTGCTTTATTTTTTCTTACTTCTTACTTCTTACATTACTAAAATCACAAATGTAATAGTACTGCCAACCTCTGCAGTTGCTTATCAGTTTGATTTCTTAGCCACATTGCCTCCTCGTTACTATATATTTCCATCTTTACTGGCTCTGTGTTTTCGAGATTTTTAGCTGTGCTAATACTTTCCACTGACACTGACAAGTTTCAGCTTCCGCAGATGTGGAAATTGTCTGGAGAGGTAAAACACTGCTGCAGAGGGCATCATTTAAAACTAAGAGCAGGAGGCCCATCTCTACACAAAGGGTTGGAAGAGCATGGAACAAGCCACCCACCCACATGATAGAAAATGATGCCCTGGCTTCCTTCCAGAAAATACTGGATGAGATTCTAGGATCCTGCTTGAAAAAAACAAACATAAAACAGGTCTTACGTTCTTGTGAGAGTTACACCCATAAGCTCCCCCAACACACATCTGCGAGTAGGGGTTTGTGATAGTGTGAGAATGTTGACATCAGTAGTTATGAGAAAACCAACTCGTTTTCCCCTCTGACTTGGCAGAGGTTCTTTAATGACTACGGGATGGTGTGGGTTGGAGAGAGGGAAGAACACAGCGCAGTTCATACCCACGGCAGGCAGACCCAGTGGCATCCAGGTACTGTATTCTGTCTTTCTGCGGTCTGAAATTGCTAGCTGGCCATGGCAGGTGTCATTCAGCTGAGGAGTTATGCACCGGCCTTCCACTGGCCTGCATTCAATTTTGAATGCAATTGCCATGTACCTAGCTCAAATACAGGTGCTCCAACTACAAGTTGTTTCACTAACAGACATAATTAAACTGTATAAGACTGAACACTTTGGTCCTTGCTGTTCCATCTCTTAAATACTTTTAATTCAAAGTATATTCACAAGGTAAATTGTCCAGCAACAATCAAGTGCATCTCACATCTGTCCACTTTCCTTGCATGTGGTACCATGAAATTTCAGCAGCACATAATAGCTATTGATAGAGTATTATTACCTTATATGGAACCTTATTATATAACCTTCAAAGGCCTGTTTTTTAATGCCACACGCCTTTATTTTGTGTTTAACAATGCTGGTGATTCCGTGTTTTCTGTGTCTTGTGTTAGGTCTCTCGGTGGTGCGGGATTTCCACGTGAACTTTGACCTCGTCCTGGAGAACATCAAGGACCTGAATGTCCTGGCTGGGGAGGGGGAGTCGCACGTGGAGCGCACCGCGGGGGGAGCGCGGCTGGCGCGCCACACCCCCCTCCCCCTCCACCTCTTCAAGAACGGGATCGTCATGTTCAACGGCCCCTTCCGCCCCTACGAGGATGCCAGCACACGGGTAAGACACCGCACACTGCACAGCTGTATGGCGCCCCTGCCCTCCTACATCCAGACTTCAGGCTAAACAAGCACAAAGACAGCTTTAAGAAGGGAAGGCAACCTTCTTTCAGGTAAAAAAAAAAAAATATAAGACAGCTTAGAAAGGAAGTAGCACAGGGCTTTCTAAAAACTAACGTTTTTTTTTCCATTAGCCCTGTTTGCAGAATGACTTTGATTACAATGTTAAACTCTTTTAGTAGAGCTGCTGGTGGAGGGGACTGCAGATTTAACTGCCCCAGGTGCTGAAGCTGGGCTGGAGGTGCTCTTGCACAAATTCCAGAGGCAGCTTAACGCCTTTGTCTGCCCCTGTGATTTTAGCAATGTGTGCAGGACCTGATGGATGGATACTTTCCATCGGAGCTTCAGAAGAGATTCCCTGAAGGCGTGCCCTTTGAGGTACGTTAAAGCTTCCTGATATGTTAGTCACTGGAGGGGTCACCCAGTGCGCTCCAGAATAGACTGCATACAGTTTAATAGTGCAGGAGCCTTCATTTTGATGAATGATAGCCTTGCATCTTTTTATTTCCCCCTTTATAAGAATTCCCTAAATTGTCATAAAACAGTGTGTTAGAAATCTTGAAATTATGGGAAAACAAATTTACTATGGTCTTACAAGTGTTTCTAAAAATTAAGGTGCAGTAATTTCAGAGTCTTTACAGTAAATTAACATTTTGGGTATTGTGAAATACTGGAGGTACTAAAAATAAATAGTTCCGACTCCACATCTTGCTTCTAATCATAGCAGATTAGTTTCCCCTTAAGTTAAAAATAATATACCATTAAATGGATTTCCTTACATGATGTCAAATCTGTCTGTAATGGAAATACTGAAGTTTAGTACAGTAGGTGGCCTGAGTATCTCTAAACAGGAAGACAGCAAGAGATAAGAGAACAATAACGCTTTTGACAGATCTTCACCCATCCTGTCTTCACAAGAAGAATACATTCTTACCTAACTCTGACTTAATTAGGTCTCTAAGTCATTTCCTATTTGATAATTAGAACCTGCTAAAACTTTGCTGTGGAATACCATGATAAAAGCAGTGTAAAGTGGAGTATAACACAAGAAAAGTATGGTAAAATTACAGACTGCAGTAATCTGAAACAGGTTGTGAGCAGACTTCAGGAACAGGATGTGAGCAGACTGCAATATTCTGGTAAAACATGTAAAACATGATGTGAACTGAGAAACTGGAGAGGTCAATGCCTGATGTGAGTAAGGTACAAATGCATCGAATGAAAGGCGTTTGAAATCAGTGGTGAGTAGCAGTGAACTAGAAAGCTTGTAGAATTACATCTTGTCCACACTTTGGTACTAATGGAAGATGAAAAACCTGAATGACACCTAAGCAGGACAGTAAGCAGCATCTTCCCTATGTCTACTAATTTAATTGAAAAACCTTACTCAGTCTGAACAACCACTTCAAAAGATGTTGTAGTAGCTCTTAAATACTGTGGTACACCAATAATCAGTTAATGCTCAAATGAAAGACAGCCAAGGCTAAGTTCATCTTAATCATTTCTTGTTAATTATATTGTGGGTTTCAGTTTACATACTCATGTTAAATTTGCCCTAAAAAACACAGTCAAAAGCAGATGCTTAAGGTGCTGTGGAGAATTCCAAGTTTTCTTTTGTGTTTCAGAGCAAATTTAAAATATTTTTGGTAATATGTAGGTAGTTCACTCTTGTTAGCCTACACAAAAATATCTCCAAACATATTACACACGATTCAAGAGTGAGTGAGTGTTCATTGACTTAATTCCATGTCTACTTAGATTGCAGTCCTTATACTGTCTTCCATCTGTGCAGTACAACCACAGTGACACCTACTGGCTATCATCCATCCAAGTTTTATTTACTGTACATTCCCATAACATTGAGAAACATGCAGTATACTGATATTATGGCGATCCAAAATTGGGCAAAGCTACCACTGTTAACAAATACCCATTGTGATAACTGATATGACAACACATTCAAACCACAAATCCAAGTAGCAGTTAACAGTTATATATACATTCAGGGAATTCTGAACCAAAGTTATCTTGTTTTTATCTCCTGTATGTGTGTTAAGGTGTTTGACAAGCGATCAGAGGTATTCAGAGAGAGACAACGGTGGACAGAGTTCCCTGGCGAGGGGCAGGCTGTAGGAGGAATCCCACTAACTAACAAGGCTGAGGCTTCACAAGTGACGAGCCAGCTGCCAGGTCTGTGACATCACAGTGACATCACAGTGACATAAAAGTCACATGGGAAGAGTGTTTCAAGGCACTGTGATGGATTATAGTTCTTTTGTTATTTTTTCAACTTAAAGACAAAGATATATTTAGATGTAATAATAATTATTATTTGTTAATTACAATTATTATTCGTTTATATTATGTATATTTAAGATATTTAACAAAACCCATTTTTGTTAAAAATATGTCACTATTTATTCACTAAACCTTATGCTAAGCAACTTGTCATAAAGTAAGGTGTCATTAAATATTCTCTCTCACACTGTGGCCAAAGCACTGAGGAACAGTTACACTGCACACTGTTCAATTTGTCAACTTGAAGTATCTTCAGTGATCTAAGCCGATTCTGTGCATACAAACTGAGTGCACTGTGCTGGAAGGGGCTGTGAAACTGGCTTCTTTGCTTCTCCCAGGTCCTAAACTGTCTGTTGAGCAGTTTTTAAATAGGTTGCCCAAGGCTGTCATCAAGGAAGGCAAAGTCATAGACATCCGGGGATCTATCAGGGAAAACCTGGAGGTAAGGCAAGTCCTTGGTACCAGAATCTGATTCTTAACTAAAATATTCCTCATTTCTTTCTCTCCTGTTTCTCTGCTGCTTGTTATTCAGAATATTTGCTGTAACATATACTGTCAGTATAAAATAACACAACATCAGTGTTTATCACTGATTCACAGGGTGAAGTTTACCCAACAAGATTTCACACACTGCAGCTGCACAAACCTCATGCATTCTAAATTCATTCCACTTAGCCATCTGAGCTAACCCTGCAGACAGGATACTCTCGGGATGAAGCTGGCCTGACCATCTCGGTTTTTGCTCTCTCCTCTGTCCTCGCACCAGGGGACCTCCAGCACCCAGAGCCGCAGCGTAGTCCTCATAGAGACGCCAGCTCTACAGGCCATGAAACAGAGGTACAAACGCGCTGAGAAACACTTTCGAAATATCATTGGCATTTTATCAAGCCGAAGGCCTGGAACAGTGTAGCTGAACATGCTGACTCTGTCACCAACTTATCTGTGGTGGGGAAATTGACAGTCGATGAATTTCAGTTCGGCAGAGCGTGTTTTTCACACCATCCCCTGTTCCTCTTTCAAACTGGGAATCGCAAGGTGTCGTTCACAGCTCAGCTCACTGCAGCAAATTTAGCTGAAGCAAGGTGAGGATGAAGGAAACATGCGTTTTTTTAATGCCACCAATCTTATGGGACCACTGTCGCTACTGCACCTGTAGGCTTGATGCAGAGAACTGATGGGTCTCCCAACACAACACTGGATCAAAGGGGTGGGACAAAAAAACACAGGGGGTGCGGTTGTGTAAAAAGTTCAGGTTAATGTAAACCTGACCAGCACAGTCAGACGTGCAACACTGGTGACAGACACTGGCAGGCCTCAAGCTGAGGTTTTGCTTTGCTGGGTGAACACCGTGGGAGTCCTGGGTCCTGCTCAGTTCAGCCCCTGAAAAAAAGTAAGGGTAGAACCGACACCCTTGTCCACCCATTCGTTTTCTTAACCATTTCATCCAATTCGAGTTTATCCCAGCAACAGGCACAATGCAGCCTACACCCTAGCCTACCACAGGGCACATGGAGACACAAACTCACACCATGGCCAATTTTCCCAGAAGCCAATTAACCTACAAGTATCTCTTTGGACTGGGAGGAAACCTGAGGACCTGGAGGAAACTGACTGAACATGGGAAGAACATACAAACTCTGCACAGATAGCACCCCAGAAATTGAACCCAGAGGCCCAGCAGTGTATCTAACCACTGTGCCACCGTGCTGCACCCAGTTCACTTATACAATATTTAACATAAATCCTTATCAGTGTGTAATGCTGTCTGAACTTTCCTCCCACAAATTCCTGCCTGATCTACAGGTTAGAAATGAGTGTGGCAAACCGCCCTCCCACCCCACAGAACATTTCCACGCTGCGGGTGAAGTCAGAAGATGGCGAACAGACATTCATCGTCAAAATGCTCTTCTCAGAAACCATCGGGCAGCTCCGCCAGTACCTCAACACACACAGGTAGGTTGCCTGTGTGGGGCTGCCACTGTAGCCAGATGCTCAAAATCATAAAGGCACATCTGCATGCTTTACTCTCCACTCTGTATGGGACATGTGAAATTTAAAAACAGGCCAGTTCCTTTGGTTGTGTTGATTTCCGTCATGTTTCAAACCCAGGCCACATAACCGTATTAAAAGCATAAGTAGCCGAACTGCTGGAAATAGTGTTGGTAGGGACTATGAGTGCAGCTGTAGGAAGCAGTCATGAGGTGTTCTGGACCAGTAACTGGGAGATTTTGGGTTGCTGTCTTGTTCCAGTAAAATACCTGGCTGTATACATGGTTGCATATATATATATATTTAGATAGAAAGTGTCAGCCAAAATGAATTGGTTATAATAATGTCATGGACGCTATTATTATTGTTATAGGCAGTAAGATGGTCATGGGCTATTAATGTAACATTGACAGATGGTTATAAAGATAGATCTGAGTCATTTACATCCTAGGGTAGGTGAGAATTTAATGAGTGTGTCAAATGTTGCAGGAATCTGCTAACAATATTTGGACATTTCTAAATGAATGCAGCAGCTACTATATGTGTATCAGTTGCAACATAGAAAAAGGAATCTATGTTTGAGATATTATGTATGTGAGCTACATAAAGGGCAGTGTAACACAACCAGGGACTGAGCTCATAAAACTCAAGGGAATCCAATAACAGAATTACCATCATAATTTACCTCTAGAGATCGGAACACGTACAGTTTTAGAGAGGTGTTACCCAACAGTGCAGGAGACCACAAAGGTCTTTTCAACAAGCTACCTCCCCAGACTACTACCAAACACTGCGAAAGCCCTTTATATACCCAAACATCCCTCTAATAAACCCAAAGTGAGAATACTGCATTTATCATTATCGATAATGTAATCATAATAGCACTTTGGAAAGTCTTTATGGAGTTTACAAGGAGAGTTCTGGAGGTATGACAACAACCAAGTTCAATCACACGCGGCTACCAGTAATCAGCAATCACTCCCGATCTCATTTCCTCTCCTGAAACACTACGGATACGGTAGGTGACCCTTCTCTCCCTCGCATATGGCTTTTTGCTTAACACCGCCACCCCACCACCACTTCTGCACGTCTGCACCCTTGGTCACTCCTCTCTCTGCATGGCAGTGAACGTGTTCTTTACAACTTGCTGTTCTTCGAGAGGTATTGAAGCAAAGCCAGCCATCTCCTCCGCCCACTGTCCAGTGCGCTTCCTCCGCTCTTGTGTGAAGGTGGACTTTACTGACCTATTGTGCTGCTCATTTATGAATTTAGTTTAACAACCATTGAAGCATCCACTTCTCTGATTTATTTTAGTGGTTACTTGGTTATTATTTTTAATGGAACAAGTAATAGGTTTAAAAGAAAAGAAAGAAAACACAACGTTTCGGCCGTGGAGCCTTCTTCAGGTGTGAGAAAGACAGGGCAGACTTGTTCCTTTGCAGCCTAAGCATGCTGACGCAGCTACCCCCCTGAACTATTATTTTTAATTACAATAAACGTAAAAACGAATAAGGTCCGAAGCAATGCGGTTCTGTTCCGACAGGGGAGAAGACTGCCCAGAGTATGACATCATCAGCGCCTTTCCCCAGAGGCAGTACGGCGACGAGTCCCAGACCCTGCAGCAGTGCGGCCTGACGCCCAACGCCACTCTGCTCCTCCGAGTCCGGACTGGCCAGAACTCCTCGGGTCTTCAGTGATCGCCGTCAGCACAAACCGGGGGAAACGGGAGGAGAAGAGCTCGCCTTCTTCTTTCATCTTAGGAAGATACTGTCCCCCTCCTTCCAAGCGCAGGACACCGGTAGCCTGGCCATGGAAACCACTGCAAGAACAGTCCGTCCTCTGCGCAGCTTTCACTGCAGGGGGCTCTTGGGGAGTGGGAAGTTGCCACTGTTGCAGGCCACCAGCTGGCTCATTTACAAAGATTATGTTCTTCCATAGCAATCACATTTATTACAACAAATTACAATGTGCTAGCTATAATTTGCCATTCTTACAGGTCCTGTTAACAAAATTCCCATAAGCTGAACGTTATTTTACTCTTCTACTGCCTGTTAATAAAAAAGGAAAGTTTTTGAAAGCCCCTTTTTAAAAGTCCAACACTTAGGGCTGGAAAAGTTAACTATTGCATTGACAGATTTAAGGCGTTGTTTTGGACATTTCCCCTGCATTTTAATGTTTGTCTAAAATGTTGTCCTAAATGTTCATAGACTTTCTTATTTCAGAGGGTGGACAAAAATAAATCAAACTGTGTGCTCTCTAGAATAGATTTGTTTACTCTAAAAAACCTGCAGTTCTAGAAAAAGAAGTTGGGTTCCAGCTTGGTGGTGCCTTGGTGACATCAAGACAGCAGCGAATGTACTAAGGCAGCCTTCTTCAAGGGTGAGGGAGAGAGGATATAGGACAGGAGAGCAAGGACAGAGCAGGACAGAACGGGCGCACAGGTGAGAAAGGGTGTCCAAATGAAGGCAGGGGTGTGAAAACAAGCTGAAACCTGGAAATGGAGAGAAATTGAAAAGAATGTAGTCAAGCGCCGAAAGAAGGGGGAATTTGTGATCAAAGCTTAAGGAGCTCCGTGAAGTTGCCCCCCTACAGACTGCACAAACGATGAAACCCACCTCATTCGTTAGTGCTGCATTTGTGGCGGTTTGTGCCGTTGAAAGTAACTTCCCAGCTGTTTCCGTTCCTTAGATATAACGTCTTCTTTTTCAGGGGGTGACCTTGCCCAGCTCCGCTACAACGTTGTTGGGGAACCGGACCGGTCTCAATCGTTAGTGCTACGGTTGTGCCGTTGAAAGTAGCGTTTGTGCTGCTTTCATTCCCGGGATATAGCGCCTTGTTTTTCCGGTGATCATGTGACCATGCACGGTGACTTTGACCTCCGGTGACCCCGTCTGCCGAGTTCAAGCGTCTGTTACCGGTGCGAGAGTAACAGTTCTGCATTGTGATCCTCTGTTTGCACGGATGGGGGGCGGCGGTGGATTTTGTATTTAATATCAGTGTCTTCTGTGCGTTTGTGTGTGAGCAGGAAAATTAAATTTGTCACGAATATCACTAACCCTAATCAGAAGAGTTGCGGGTGTAGTCGAGTCTTCTGCAGTCTGCAATACAATGACACAGACATGTTTGCTTGTCCTGCTCCATGAAGTTGTCCACCCGCCCGTCGAACAGCACAAACGATTAAACTAACCGTAATCATTAGTGCTGCGTTTGTGCTGCTTTCGTTTCCGAGATATAGCGCCTTGGTTTTTCGGGTAATCACGTGACTATCCACAAGGAGGTTTACAGGTACCAACAAACTCTGTACTTGAACTCCTGATTGTGATGAAAACAATGGGGGGCAATTTGTTTTCCGAGTCTGTCTGGTCGGGTGGGGTGGATGTTTCAATATATTTCAATATAGCGCCTTATTTTCCTGGCAAAACAGCAAAGTCACGACCACCAGATCTTTCAGTTGTGATCTTTTGATCAGTTCACCCCAGACTTTGCAGCCTTTACGCGAATCAACAGTCTTACATTTAGGGGGAGTTACTATGTTAGAACATTGGGTTAGATGTTTTCTTTTAATTTTTAACCATGTTCTCGAAAATGTATTGCTTATGTACTCCTTTCATTGGTGAAGAGACACCAGTTTCCAAATTACCGCTGATACAACACGAGAGCCCATATTCACATTTTTAGTATTAGTTTCAAGATCGATATAATTTAACAATAAAAAACAAAATGTAAAAGCACGAGCATAATAATATAATGATCATAGACTTTACATGTCAATTAATTTTTGAAGCACAAAGCAGAAGGTGTTTCCCCTACCTTAAATATACGATTAAAATTGTTCAAATACCATTTATTCGTTACAGAAAGCAGCGGAGACAGTTATATTGCAAATAAAAAAATGTATTTATTTCGAGTACGGGACATTGTGAATCAGTAAAGACGTTTAAAAAATAAACCGATGTAGTTGTAGTGCAAATAAGTAAAGCATTTTAAAAATAGATTCTCATTTACAGTAAACAAGCTGATCCACCTGGCGGTGCTGGCTTGAACAGCTCTCAGACCCGTGATTGGCTAAACCCCCGAACAGTTTGGGCCGCGATTGGGTGAAAAGTGAGAATCGACACTCTGATTGGGTAAAGCGCCACAGCGGAAGTTCCTTGTTCCAAATACTGTAGTCCCGGTTAATCGCGTATGCTGTATGAGCACGCTGGATATACAGTTACACATCCATTAGTTTCCAATTACTAATCAATCTAAGAGAAGTCGCACTGAGGTCAAAACTGAATAGCAGACAAAGAATGTCATGGCATCCACACCGATTCCGATAGCATGTCACGATCACATCACAATACCCATTGCGACTTGCCCATTACTGCCATGGCGTCTCTGTTGCGACATTAAGTCCATATATCGCGATATGACATACCCTGACAAAACGCCCCACCCCCATGTCGCGACATGAAACCCGCATATCGCGATATGACATACCCCGACAAAAGTGCCCCACCCTCATGTCGCGACATAGAGCCCGCATATCGCGATATGACATACCCCGACAAAAGTGCCCCGCCCCCATGTCGCGACATGAAACCCGCATATCGCGATATGACATACCCCTGACAAAAGTGCCCCACCCTCATGTCGCGACATAGAGCCCGCATATTGGGATATGACATATCCCGACAAAAGTGCCCCGCCACCATGTCACGACATGGAGTACATATGTTGCAATAGGACATACCCTGACAGGATGTGCTGACCCCATGTCGCGACACAAAGTCCATATATTGCTACACGTCCTGTCTGGATAGATCATGTCCGGATATGAGACCTTTGTTGCGAGAGCGGTGCCAGGGTGGCATTGAAGCAAGGCGCCAGTCCTGATATGCACTGCCTCGATATACATGCGATATACATGGGGTCCCTATCATGACATGCTGCGGAGGGCTTGTCGCGATGGTATCCCATAGTTACGCATTTGGCAACAGTGTGTCACGATAGGGAAAGAAAGAAAAGCATGCCTTAGAAAATAAACAACAGATCTTACAATCACGGTGATTTTACATACATTACAACCACAGGTTTGTCATAGATGGTTAACTTGTTGGCATGCGTCATGTCTTAGTATTATTTACATCTAAGGAGGCTCATGTTTACGGATATTGATTGTCTTTAAAATGTTAAGGGTACGAGCTAAACTGTAACAGAGCGCTTGAACGCGGTAGAGGGGGTCACTGGAGGTCAAAGTCGCCGTGCATGGTCACGTGATCACCAGAAAAAGAAGGTGTTATATCTCGCGAACGAAAGCAGCAAACGTAGCACTAATGAATGAGACCGGTTTGGTTTCCCTACGACATTGTAGGGGGGCTGAGTGACGTCACAACCCCGAAAAACCAAGGCGCTATATCTCGGAAACGAAAGCTGCACATACGCTACTTTCAACAGCACAAACCGGCACTAACGCATGAGGTGGGTTTAATCGTTTGTGCTGTCTGTAGGGGGGGGGGCAACTTCTCGGAGCTGTTTTAGCGATAATCTTAGCTTCTCATGGTTTCCTGGAGTAGGAGTCCTGAAACTCCTGTAAAAGGACAGAAAGGCCAGTGAAATCCTGGCAGGGAGGGGGGTGAAATACTGAGTAAGGTGGGGGGACTGGCAGCTCGATCGATCTTCTTCTGTCTGTTTTCTGTCTTCTTTCTGTTTCGACAGTGTAATTCCTCAGCAAGAAATTAACCTTTACTTGTTCCTTTGCAGGCAATGCACTCAGAACTCTACTAATTGTCTTTGACATTGGACGCCCTGGTTACAGACTGTCGCCTGCAGAGAAAATAGTGGAGTCTCAAGCTCAATCTTTCAGCGGTTTCACATCAAAGGGAAAAAAAAAAAATCCAAACACAAAGCATTACACAATTCTCCATTTTTTATTGATTTCCCCATATAGTTATCATCTTCTTGGAAGACAACAGCATTTTATTTCTTGGCCAAAAGAAGGGCATTGGTCCAAAAGGCAAAGCAAAAGATCATGGAGAACAGTGGACCACCAACGGAATGTCACAAGCATGTGTACAAAATAAGTGTGGTGATGAAGAGGAAAGAGCAATCATCTCAGAGGGCTGTGAGCTCGGGGAGATCTCTGCACATTTACCCACCAATGTACTTCACAGAACACAGAATCCTCCTGTGCGCCTGCCACTCTCACATGCTGAGCGTCTTGCTGTCTGTGCACCAGGAGTTTTCAAAACCACTTTAGTCATTGCGTTGCACAATAAACACTGGCCACTGCAATAGATAATGTACTTTGCACAGTGTACAGAAGATCATTTTTGGAAAGCTGGTTGATGATATGTACTTAAATTGTTCTATTTTCCCCAAGCATCACCAAATACTCTCTTATTAAGACCCTTATAAGAGAGGCTGCAATACTGATGGTCTTAAATTGCTCCCTCTCCCGGGATGAATAAAGTATTTTGAATTGAATGGTTTTCATAATACAGGACGCAAGCTGTGTACTTGGGGTCCATATGGGTTACAGTAGTGGTAGGTATAACCGATGTGTTGTGCAAAGGATAGAAAAAAATAAGGGTTTTTATTATTTGATGCTACAAAATATATAAAATATGCCAAACAAATACCAGCGAAAGAGTGGAGTTTGGTTTGGCATCCTACTTACTGTTTAGTGTGACCTCAAGGTGAATTAGACTGTCCTCTCTTAAAAAGCATGTGGACACCACTCTTCAGTGGGAAAGCTGACACAATAACAGTCATCCTCCATCCCTTCCTGGTAGACAGGGGTGTAGAGTGAACACCCACGTGCCAGGAGTCTCTCACAGGCAGTTTCACTAAAGGTTTTACTCCAACTCTACTGATCGGGCTGTAGAGGGCACTGTGGAGCAGGAGGATCGCAGAGATTCCGGAGCAGCTTGAAGTTGATTCAATAGTCCCTGTGACAGGACTAAGTGCCAACCTTTTTACAAGGGCATGTATTACGCATTTATGTGAATGGGGGCCACGTCAATAACCAAGAAAGTAACTTAGTAAGGGGAAATAAAGCACTAGGCATTTATGCGTTCACTCAAGAGTGGAATAATTATGAAAAATACAGACGGTCTCAATACTTTATGCTCTCATACAATCTACCTGTCAGATTTCCCTTTTTCAGTGGGAGGGTGGCAGGGGTTTATCACCAGAATCAATAAATTCAACTTTTTACAAATTGATCATTCACTGAGATATTCTGAAATTTGATTTGTATATTTAAAAGCTATAAAAACTCATCTATATTGCATCTCAATAAAACTCAATGACCTGAACATCAGATTTAAATATCATGGAATGGCATAAGTAGAAAAAAAATCGACTTAATTCTATCAGAATTACAGTTTGGGACAGGTCTTCTAATATATTCAGTCAAAATGACAAGCCCAGATCAGAAGTAAAATAACACTTATTTTTTTCCCTTTGCTTCTCATTTCATGCAACTTGTCTGTTAGTGAGTTTTCAGCCAATCGTGTCAACCTTTTCACTTTTGAGGAGAATGAAATCCCACAATCCCACAGGACATTCACTGGGTGATTCCAAGGGTGATGACATCACAATAGAGTTACACCAAGTGAGCCGTTTTACCTCCTAGGGAAGTTTCAGCTACGTCAAGAATCCGTGTTTCAAAGTGTAAGCAAATGACAAGCTAGAGGCAGGGTCTCTCAGTTACAGTATGTGTGACTAGGGCCTTAAGGCACACCAAGGAGGTCTGAATTCCAAACTCACATTAACGAAAACAACTGCTAAGAGGACACAAAAATGTACCTCCTAGAAAAGTGAGGATGGGGCAGAGCTTTCATATATATATGGGTATTTAAAAGGACATTACTGCACTCTATTATGAAAGCCAAATGTAATCAATGACAAATTGTTGGCATTCCCAATTAAGATACTGTCCAGAGGAGTACTGTAATAGATTCCAATCCTCTGTATACTGACCTGGAGAACTGTAAATAGTGTACAGCTTTTTTGCATTATAGAAGCATGATGGTTTAGCGAGAGATTAAAAGTGAACTGCAGACGGTAGCATTTATTCATACTGTACTACTGAGCTAAGTGATCTAAATGTCTGCAGTGCAACAGTTCAATAGGATTTTTTTTAAAACATGTAACAGAATTGAAATGTAAGATCCTGGTGAGCTGAGTCCCCAGATTGACCTTGTTGGAAGAAGTTTAACATGATTCATGCTTTTCATAACAGCATTGCAGATTTGTGAAAATATAATATTTGGAGAAAAAAAATCTCAGGGAGCTTTGGGGAATACACTGAAGCATTTGTCTCAGAAAGTAACTAGTTGGTCCATTGTGTTAAGCAGAATTGGTCTAATCGTGAAGTGCGCATGCTCACCAAGTTCAGCTAATCCAATCACTACACTAACCTAACCCTCCCCACACAGAGACACACACACACACTTGATCCCAAATGGTTAAGACGAGTATTAGTGCTGTTTCTACTCTTTCTGGAGGAGGAGTGGGGAGTGAATAAGAGAGGAGAACAGAAAGAGAAGGAGGTCCAGGCGGGTAAGAGTGTCATGTTCAGCAGGTTGACAGGACTGCTCTGCCTGGGTGACCAGCGAAGACGTGCTTGATTGATTTGGGTTTTTTGGCATTCGGCATGGCGCTGGGGCAAGGACGCCGGTGGGCAGGCTCCGTCCCGGCTGCTCATTCCAGCTTCAGGAACTTCTCCACCGTGTCGGCCTCCACTGCCTCGGAGAACAGCTGGTAGTCCTGGGAGAAGAGGAGAGCGTCAGCGTGCCATCGGTGCGTTCGGCCCCCTCCCCCAGTCTCCTGCCTCCAGACTGGACTTCGACAACATGCCCCCTGGAGGCCGCGCAGATCCTATTCCACACAAACCGAGCTTCATCATGTCGCAAAGCTGGAAACGATCAACATTTTAACCCTGCTTGTCAGCCATTTCCCTGCATTACCGTAAGGAAACAAAGCCGCCAAGACGGACTGCAAGTAGTGACAAAGTCAGGTGTAGCAGAGTAGCAACACTTCCTTTAATCACGTAACTCTCCCATTCAAGAGCACGGAAGACAAAACTCTCAGGGATATGGCTCTGAACGATGGGAGTTAAACTTCCTTTCCTTTCAGCTCCACTTCCTGCCAAGCGGACAGTTTGTCAGACGGCAGAAATTGCGCATGAATGCTGAAGCCACAGTTTGACTTGATCACCACACCCCTGAGTGAATCTGCCATGTGCCTCCACTGTTGCGCACTGGGCTGAGAAGTTACAGCACACAGACGGGCTTGTTTCAACAAGTAAAACGCCACTGACGCAGTGGACCCTTTTCCATCAACATCTCCTGTTGAGACCTGACTCGCCTGGGACATCCCAGCTGCTCTCCCAGACGTGGCCGAGACAGGAGTCAGAGCAAATCTCATCTGCATGGAAAGTCACTGAAAGCACGACTCTGATTTGGTTTCCCAGCTGAACTCACACTGAGAAGGAACGGCGAGGCAGATCGGCAAACGCAGTGACTGTACAGCTTTTTCATAGCAGAACTAAGCCCATGTGGATTCAACTGTGTTTTCGAAACATCTATAGAAGCAAAATTTGAAAACCTCAATTCCTCTTTATAGCAGTTAGACCTATGTCTTCCTTGGGATAATAAACCGCACGGTTTGGACAATTTGAGGGCCAAGCCTCCAGTAACAATTATCAATGACCGAAAAGACCACAGAATGAAGCTTTTTAGCAAAGCGTAGTCGAAACCTGAGCTCTCCGACCCTCCTGCTGGTGCGGGCACAGCCCAGTCGATTTTACAAGTAACAAATCTAATTTAACTATTACATCGAAATACAAGACATGAAACGACCCCACCCGATCAATTAAGGTGGCTCAGTCAAGTAATTCAGAGGTAGTTTGGAACACAGATTCGATTTTTTTGATTTTGAGAATTTAAAAATATTCGCCAACATTCCCAGTCTCTAAGCAACAGGTGACCCAGGGCGACTTATAAGACAAGCTGAAATGGGGGTCACTCCCAGGGACCAAGGTTGGGAACCCCTCTGATTCAAAAACAAGGGAGCACTTTCAGACCCCCCATATTCAGGTCACATTCTCGGATGGCAGCACAGGCTGCTCGTGAATTATCGGAATCACTCCTTGTTGGACGCACCGGGAGCCGACCGCAGCCAAGGTCACTCACCCCACAGTACTGGTCTCCGTTGAATATCTGGGGGGGCACCGCGGTGGCGTTGCCCGCCTTGCTCCTCATTTCCTCTCGCACCTCGTTGCCCACGGAGATGTCGATCAGCTCAAACTGGATGCTCTTGCTCTCCAGGATCCGCATCACCTCGGCCTGCTGGGATTTAATCTGCGGCGCAGAGGGAGGGTGAGCAGGTCGCCGCCGACAGCCTGTATTAACGGGGCGCGGACGCCGAGGAGCTGCAGCCGCAACTGGGGTATCTGAGCTCGACTCAAGGGGCCGGTTACACTTCGGACATGAAGTGAATACAATTTGCATTCGGCACTTTTTGAGGTTTACTGTGATACTGCAACCCGGTACAACTATCCCTGTCGTTCGTGTTAATGATTAAAAGCGGATATGGAGAAAAATGGTGTGAATCATATTTTATACAAGATAAGGAACTGATAACTCTTGAAATGGAAACAGGATGCGTGGTTTCTCCAGAAGGGCCTCCATTTGTGGTATTAGGGAATTTGAAAAGGCCCGTTTGAACCTCAGTTGAGCACACCCAAAAATACTCACAAATGGGGAACGGCACCCTATCTCTACAAAAGGTTAAACAGAATGGAAACAGAAGCAAATTTACCAACACATTTCAAGAGAAACACCCATAATCGGATGTTAGGGGGATTTAAATGGGTGGGGACAAATGCACTCTTATCACAAGACAATGATTAAACGGCTTTGATGTGAAGATCGCCCTCTAATTTAAGAAACGTCGTGGTTGCAGTAATTTCCAGGTCTGCCGTCCAGTCCTTTCAGGTCGCAAGCTGTAGGCGGAACGCCGTTTGGACGCGACACAGACAGGACCCACCGCTCAGACTTAAAAAAAAAAAATCACCACTATTTGAAACAGCGCGCTTTATTCCATCAGAGGGACAAATCTGACAGCCTAGCTGTTTCAGTAACACTAGTCTCCACATGGTATGACAGGTAGCTAGCTCAGATGCAAAACGTATATTCCGGTTGCATCTGTGATTACGTGGACAGTGCGCAAATACACTACTTATTTCCCCACACAAACTGCAGGTTACTTCCAACTAACAGCGCTATACACCAATATCCGGTAACCACCCAGTGTCTTTCTGCATTCACTTGCAGACTTCCCTTTTTCCCCCCCATCCGGACTTGTAAATAGATTATTTCGACGCAGAAATCGACCCAGTACTTTTCCACACACTAGTCTCCGCTCGCCGCTCACTTCAAAGACCTTAACGAGCTCGGTCTACAACGAGCCGCAGAATGAAGAACAGGAACAATACGACTTCCGCCTCCCTACTTGCCACAGGGCTGTGCCTGTGCCGTTTATTTGTATCCAGTTTCTAACGCCGCTACAGTCGCCCCTTAACATGCTAAGCCCGCAGACACAATCAGGCTTCATGCACTTTGAGGCAGCAGCTCTCGGATTCCTCAACACTAATTCGATTAGGGTGCACTCGGCCCAGATATGAGACGAATAATAGGGAGCTGGGCGTGTCTTGCACCGCTTCGGGCTTTTAAACGCATGCCAGTTCACTTCCAAGGCCGGGCGGCTTTTTAGAGATGCAGCAATGCATTGTGAAGCCAGGCGGGTTACCTTACCTCTCTAGAAGCGGTAACGGTGGTGTAGTACAGTTTTACGCCCATTGCTGCAGCTCTCAGTATCTCTTTTGGATTGCTCCGTGCAGGCACTCTTTCCCTTCAATCGCCTCTCCTCTTTTCGCAAATCGCTCTTTACCATGTGATATAAAGACACCAACCAGCGCCCTGGCACCTCTTAAAGACACAACACCGCACACGACCAATCCAAATCTCGAATTGTTTGGTTTTTTTTTTCTTTCGGCTAGAATTTGAAGTCGATTTTTTTTTTTTTAGAGTCTGAAAAGATATAGACAAGGGTTCTATTTCAGTGGAGGCGCTCAGGTCCTCAAATACAATTGCAGGATATAAGCTTCTATTATCAGTAAGGCAGAAAAGTCCGTGTTGGCACGAATGGGTTAAAGCAAAGGTAAATCTCTTTCAACGCCCTCGGGGAAAACATTGAACTGTACAGTAATTCCCCAAGACAAACTGGGCGTGTGATCCAGTTCCCTTTTAATGCAGATGAATAGGATTAGTCCGGGGATAATGGAAGGCAAAGATGTCAGTCCTGTACATGTCTATAACGCTTAGACCTCCACCCTTCAGAGCTCTGCAGTTGCACAGTAATACCTCGACACCAGTTTACCAGCAGAAGAACTTACTGCAGTGCATTTTAAATCAATAAAACATACAAGATTCGACTTCTGGCGTTCGTAGATGTAGTGAAGCTTTAAGGAAAGACTATTATTAAAAACTGAACTCTTTCAGAAAACTACTTTCTTTGATGCTGCTGATCACTTAACAGTATCCCGGCCGCCAGCTCATGAGTTCACATGAATCCTCATTCTAAAAAGTAAAAAGTTTAGAGATGTATAGCATCATGGTCATGTAATTTCCCCTCCATTAAGTCTTCTCACTACTGCAGGTGTTCTAGGGTTATTGCTTTAGACCTGAAACAAATTTCAATATTTATCATTAAAAAAACTACCAATATCAAGAAGTTGATTGGGACAACCCAAACATAGATCAGCTTCCATTATCAAACCTCAATCTATTCCTTTGCACTATCAGACTAGCAATGTTCGATTTAGTACACTGTCCACTCTTCTCCAGGTCAGGTGACTTTCTGATGCAGGATGAACGGACAGACACGCCTCTAGGATGCAGAATCAGGAAGCCCTGATCTGGAGCACGAACTTCACCCAAACATTTTATTTTACTGAAAAAGCTTTATTTCTAAACAAAGTATAAATACATTTCAAGGAAAAAAATAAATTTTTAATATAAACATTTGTCTTGTTACAACTTTCTAAGAAAAACAAGGCAGGTTTGAATGGCTCGAAGATTTGCAAGCTCATGGGAACTTTACATTCATTCGGTCAATGTATTTTATTCAAATGCCCAGAAATGCTATGTTGGCTACAGTGTCACTGGGGCCCTGGATTGTGGGACCATTTCACAACAAGCCTCCAAAGAACACTCATCCTGACCCTCACATAACTGAACTGCTGGCGTCACTTAACAGTATTTCCTCATTTGTATTAAAAGTAACACTTCTTTTAATAGGTAACACACTAAAAAAAGCTGCAGTTGCTAAAATCTTATCCTTGGTAACCCTCCAAAAATTTTGCAAGAAACCGTTTTTAACTCATACAAGCTAAACAATGAAATAGATTATGCAGCAAGCCAGACTGTATGATTCCTAGAATGTGCAAAAAATACACAGGGATCAAAAGGTCCCAGATTTCTAAAATGTGTACCTGAAAAGAAGTACAGATTTCTAAAACTGTTTTTGTCCAAGGGCACTGCGCTCTGCTCAATGCACGAGGCACTGACACTGCTTCTCTGCACGTTATTCGTCTGCTGTCATAATCTTTGTAGATCTGTTTACAAGGCAAGCATGTGGCATTTAAAGTGATGCTGATAACATACATACTGTTAATACAGTTTTCTTGCATTAGAAACTTGCCTATGCTTGTGCGAGTACAGCCAGATAGTATAAGTCAGGGACATGGACACTGCATGTTAACACAAGTCTAGAATTCATGTCTAGAAAAGAAATCATACCTATAAAAATTAGCCAGATACATAGGGTGCATGCTTGGAAGGTTATCAAGCAGGCTTGATTGTTATATGCGCATAGCTGGAACCTGAAATTTCTGCATATTTTCCACTTCAACACCTATAGGCATATACATTAGGTTTTGACTGCCCAGAACAGAGGCTATAGTTCAATTCTGTCTTCATATTTTAGTTATTCCATTGTAATTATCACCTTACTGATTCTAAACAATCTCTCATTTGTAAACCAAAAGGTTTGCTAATCTGGTACGGATTTTTTCTTCCCTTGTGAAACTACATTGAAAGAGTCCCAGACCACATTTATTGATGAATCTCAGAATGTCAAAAACCTCTCTGATATAGGTTTTTACAACAAATGGATACTGAAATTAGTAGGTTGGAAAATAAAGAACAAATATTCCAGATACACAGCTACTCACTGCTAATCAAAATTCCAAATGATAGCTCCAGTGGGTAGACTGAAGCACCTTAGTTTGCTTCTGTTGCAGACTTGTAAAATACAAAAAAGTAAGTGACCTTTAGCTGCAGAGTGTGCACAAAAAGCAGCAGAAGTAGGAGATGGATTCTATTAAATTAACTGTAGAGTCATTTAGGAAACCATAAGGTTTGCTACAGGAACACAAAATCAAGTTCAGTTATTTCAGCTAGCAGGGAAGTGTTCTACAGCAGCAGAATCTGCCAAACAACTTGTACTGTGCTTCCAGGAAAATGAACGTTCTGATTTAAGAAAACATGGTACTTTAATGCCCCCTGTGACTCCTGGGCAACAACTGTTTCATCACTTCCAAAACTTTCTTTGGGATGATCTATTAACTTATTTTGCATACAAACCAGTGAAACCTTGAGATTTCAAAACGACCATGTTTCCCTTTTATCTTGGATTTAAGATTTTACAAGGTTCGTGAAGTGTTAATACTAACACAGTCACAGAAAAAACGAAGGATGAATTTGAAACCGTTAGAATATGGCTATCCTGCCGTCCCAAGATCATGTAGCACAAGAGACAGCTAGAAAAACAATGAGGCTGTACAGAAGCATGGTAAACACCGAGCACTCTTGTCCTGCAGTCTAAACCCTAAATGTGTAAACGTAACTGGACCAGTCCCACTCACTTACCCCCCACCATTCCACTCCAGTGATTAATACTACAGTTGATTACCATAAAAAATGGCATGTTACAATCAATCATTACATTTCTGACACTCAAAAACATTTGAACATTTTCAGTTGATTGTCAACCACATCAAAGCATCCCACACAGGAACATATTTGAATAGTAATAATAGTGTTAATAGTAAACGGGGTATATGGGGTCATAGAAGAATGTGTCTCACTCCTTAGTACAGTTTCTGAGGGTGTTGCTCATTACTGAAGACTTTAAAGTAACAAAAAATCATTAAGATATTTTTTCTCTTCCCAATATTACACCCTTGTAGTGTGTCCACAATGAATAAATGTTGGTACTTTTGAAGTCTGATGATAATGTAAAACTGAGAATTGACAGTTTCCAAACAAACAGGCATAACTAGGACTCTTGATTTGTTAAATAACCAAATCTTAAGACTGTGTTTATGCCACATCTAGTGGTGAACAAGAGTAGCTGCTTCATTTGAGAATATGTTGTGTTTTAAGGCACATCCTGGCTCAGGTAGAAAGCCACATTCCTCTGCAGCCCCACTCTGGTTACTGTGTGATGCAGTTGTCACCCATGTCCTGTGCATATCGGTCCAATATGGTGGTCCTCAGCCCTTCCACATCTTGACGGAGCTGTTTGACCTCCGACAGCTTCTTGGAAAGAACGTCTGGGTTCTGCCAGTCATCTTGGTCATCAGCAGCCATCTGTGTAGCTGCAGGACAAAAAAAAAACCCACCATGAATGTTGGTTTACTCGCTGGGCTCCCAACATACATCCTATTGATTATTGTTCAAGGCCTAAAAGAGTGAAAGCAGCTGTCAAAATACTTACAACATGTCAAAATGAGCTTTTGTATATTTAACAAAACACTGATGGTGGATAGAAAAGCTCAAGAAAATAGAAGAAGGTCAGATGGCACCCAGTCTCTATCTTTTCATGGGTGACACTTTGGAAATGGAGCTGGGGAACATGGAAGAGATTGGACTTTTTCACAGCCTTGAAGGAACCTATGCCTGTTAGGAGTTAACAATGAAGCCATCAAGAACTGTTTTACCGTTTTTGTGCATTCCCAGCTGACCGAAGTTCCTCCAAGGTGTTTTCTTTAGACTGGAGGTGTAACTCATGTATCCTACGTGTGATTTAGCAGCACGAAAGGGAACAGGGGTCTTGGCTAAATAGATATGTTGATTAACTATGCAGGGCTGACCTAACTGCCATTATTTCTGATCTTCTTTCAAGTTATAAAGTAACAAACCGTTATGGACAAATAATAAAAACATATGTTTTTGGATATACATTTTGCTCACCTTCTAAAATAAAAGCCTGTTGCTGTCCTTGGCAAAGTGAGTGAGAGACGAGATTAACCTGTTAACTTTGTCTGTCCTCCTTTCGTTATCGCAATGAATAAGTCTTCAGCTTGATTTACCCATCGCATAGTTTACCGCTAAAAGTGTCTAACGCCCTGTTATAAGTGACACTGGCACATTACTATTCTACTAAAGAAAAATAATCCCACATTTGTCATGAAGGCCAAATAAAAATAAATTCTTGCTCTTTTGAATTCTTGCAGAAACCCTATTTAGACAATCATCTGGAAGAAAGAAAAGGTTGTTGTCACGTTTGGGCCTTACAGGTTATTCCGAGCAGCAGGGAGAGGTTGGGGTCCCTGCCCTGAGCGCGATGGGTGAGGATGTTGCAGAGGGACTGCAGGTCACAGAGACAGGCTGCCATCTCGCTGTGCAGGCGCTGTGCCAGCTGGGCGCTCTGCGGTGCAGCGGGGGCGCTGCGATCCGGCTGGCCCAGCTTCTCCTGCAGCGTGAGATTCCTCTCCATCAGCTCCTGGTTCTGTGCTGAAAGCTGAAACACATCCACATCCATTAATAACCCCAATGAGCATTTACACTGGGACTCACACAAAAGAATGGTAAGATTTTAACATGTACATTTTCAGATTCAATAAATACACCAGAAAGATGTGACCATAGCTCTACACATTGAGGCCCTAAGTGAGAGGAAGCTCTTCCAGCCATCTTTCTCACTTGGCTCCATTTCTTTTACACTCGGTGCAGCACAGGAGAGTAGAACATCGATTAGTCACGGCTCTATGGTTCAAAAACTACAAACATATCGAAGCAATAATAGTAGCTTCTTCTGCACATTCTTTTACAAAACTGTTTCTGGGTGCGGTGTATGTTTTTTAGCATTTTGAACTTATTGATGGTATAAAGCCTTGGGTTCAAACCCATTACGCTGTATGGCAGGGGTGCTAACCATCACTCTGCCCAACACAAATCAGACAGCTGGTTTATCTCCAAGCCCGTGCTCCTCACTGACCTCCTTGACGGCCGAGCGGAGCTGCTGCAGCCCCTTGTCCTTCCCTGCCAGCTCCTCTCGCAGGGCCTGACTGGTGCCCTCCTCCTGCAGCACCTGCTCCTGCAACCCCTGGAGGAAGAGCAACATCAGCCTGCACTTGCTTACAGGGGCGCACACCCCTACCGGCCACGCCCCCTGTTAGCTTAGAGGGGCTCGAGAAGATGGTGGACTAGCGACGCCAGAAGAAATCGCAGCTCAGGACTGACTGACAGGGACTTGTTTCACAGCATGGACTATCTTCAAATGTTTAAGGTTCTGTGTATGAATTATTTTCACAGCATTGTCAACGAGAATATTAACTTAATTTTTAGTTTATCGTAGTCTAAAAAGAAAATAAGGAAGGGGGTAAAAATATCTATTCACGCTTCACATTGCAACCATTTACTCACTTGTGGTTTATGGGATTGACTAGGAAATGTCACCCAGTTGTATTACTCACCCTTATTTGGGACCCAAGTTGTTCCATTTTCTTCTGTTGTATTTCCATAACCTTATAACAAAGGAAAAGAAATATTCTGAAAACACCAATTTAATCCCATTTACATTTTGAAATCTGCCAATCTGCAATACACAACTACACTGTGATTGCTAAGGAGTCCATAACATCATGCAACAACTGTAATTCACCTTATAAACATGAGACCGTAACAGAAGCTGGAGAGGGTATGCCTGCTGTAACAACGCACACAACAGCAGTGTAATTTTACTCTCCCAGTACCTTGTCTAAACTTAAGCATATCCTTTGCTTCTCAAACTGGGCATCAAACCAAGCCACCAGTTACAGTCTCTATGCACAATGAACCCTATTGCTTTCTGTGGGGATTTAAGCACCTAAGTGCTTTGAGTGATCTGTAACATACCTTCTTAACCCTCTGCAGCTCGTCTTTCAAAGCAGAGTTCTCCGATTTCAGTTTCTCCATGTCCACTGAAGGTAGTCTAGCTCCATCCTCCAGACTTTCCTTCACCTTCTCCTGCAGACTGAGATGGCAGAGCCCATAAGACTGAGCCATTCCACCAACACAACCTCCGCCATGGCCAATAAAGAATATTCGCTCCATCTTATGCATTTCAAACGCTTACAGCCCTAAGTATTTGACATTTTCTACATGTCTCAGACAAAAAAAGTTACAATTATTTTTGGATTCAAACAATACATTTACGACGTACATACATATGAAACCATGATTTGATCCATGATTCTTACTTTCAAAATCCCCTTCAATTACAGATGTTTTTAACCCATTTTCTGCACAACACTTAAAAAACATTTGCAAGAATGCTTTAAAGGAACAGCAATGTCACAGCAACAAATAAGTAGGTTAATTATTGCTCACAAGAAAATACACTGCAAGAATCAAATGCATAACCACAATGGCAGTAAACCCACTTTCTGTCCTTTTTAGACTGACCAATGATTTAAACTGAAAAAAGAGGGCTGGAGTTATGGAAAAAACAGGTGTTCACAGAACAATGATGGTAACACTTAAAACCTGACACTGCAGCTACAGAGGATAAAAATGCACAGTTGAGTTACACCATATAATTTATAATAGCATCAGTAACATGATCACAACTGGGTTTTACTTCAGCTGTAATATTGACGAGGACAGAAGTGTTGAGCTTCTGCTCTGCTCAGTGCAGCGGTGTACCTGTGCACAGTGGACAGCAGCTCCAGCTCCCTCTGCCTCTGCTTCTCCAGCTGGGACTCTCGGTCTCGGCCCGTGGCCCGGGCTTCCGCCAGCTTGGCCTCGAGGTCAGAAACAGTGTCCTGCAGCTGGCTGGACCTCTCCTCCACCTCCTTCAGCTGCAAGACAAAACCCTTTCATGACATCGCCTCACCCCAAAGAGCTGTTCCATACTTTCTCTGAGCTTGGGAAAAAACACTGGCCACATGCACAGTCGATTTGAGAGAACAACTGTGCAGCACACTACCTGCTGGCTCTGTCTCTGGTAGTCCTCCAGGGTCGGCAAGTCAGCCAGGTACCTCTCCAGTGTCTCAATCCTCTGCTGCTTCTCGCGGTTCTGCTCAGATTCCTTCTGACACTTCTTCTTCAGGCTGTTGATGTGCTTGTCTCTGCTGCGAACCTGCAAAAAGTGGGTGAACACAGAAAAGACCCTCCTTAAGATTATGTGAACAGAAATGAAGACATTTGCAAAATAATCTTAATAAGGGGAAGCTATGCTTTTAGATTATTTTCTTCAATTTGTCTCAGGTCTGGGCAAAAAGATACCATATATAGTCATAAAGCATTTGTACAGCTTTCAAACATTCACAAGTAACATGTCAAATCAACTACTAACTATGGACTGTCTTGAAAGTATAGATACACACTAATCACCAAAAGATGTAAAACAAACCTCAGTAATTAGGAAAAACATTTTTCATTGTAGGTGCACTGACATTTTAATGAACAAACATGTTAATCAACATAATTAACCTGTGACATCTGTCATCAACAGCATGTCTTGTGTGAAAGTCACTGACTGGTAGCATGTGTGGCTAAGACTGGAAGTAATACAAAGAGTACATCTGTAGTTTGAGCCTAATTAGCTGTTTCACTAATAAGATGACATAGTGCTTATGCACCCATCAAAGACATTCAGGAGTATTCTAGTCATCCAAGAATGCTAAAAATGACACCAAAATATTTAGCCTATATTTAAATACGTATACTTTTTTTTTCTCTGACAGGTTTTTTTGCATGCTTACTATAGATTTATAGTCAATACAGAAATCAGCTACTAGAATACTAACATGGAGTCCAACACATTATCCAGAATGTTAAGTCTTCGACCCGCTTACCCATCAGATACAACATTGAGCACATAAAGCAAGATTTTGATGTATTTTAAAACTAGACGCTATGCTCTTTCTGCGTCTACAAAATTTAAAGTAAAAGGCCACAGAACCAGGTTTTTGGCCGTTGACTCCCTAAACAATTGTTTTTTAAACTAAGGTGATTTTTTTTTTCCCCAACGAGGCTTTTAACTCACTATCAACAAATTAAAGCACTTTGAGATTCTCACACCTTAAAGTCTACTATGATACTTCAGATTAAAAGCATATCTGGACTGGCCATGCACCCTTGGAGCTCATATAAGGTCTATTCTCAGACTCCTACCCGTTCCTCCTGCTTCTTCATTTCCTCTGCATGCTTCTGTGTCATTTGATGGAAGGTGTCATTTAACTTGCGCAGCTCAGCCTCGACTGCTGCAAGCTTCCTCTCAGACTCGGCTCTCTCCCTGCTGAGGCTGTCGGTCCGTTCAGCAAACTGCGCTCGAAGGAACGTGTTCTCCCTCTGGGCCTCCTGTGGACCAGGCAGAAGGAGAGGCTTTGGGATTTGATTTACATGTGCAAGGTCTCATCACCGAGAGAAATCCTCTTCAGGCAATCAATCTTTGCTCATCGCTTCTACTATACATCTCTGCTGCTTTGTAAAGCACTATAGGGCTAGGTATACATCTGCCAAATTGATATCATTGTTTAACAGCTGGGGTCAGATCTAAGAGAACACAGGTGTGACCTGCATAAACATCAGTGTTGGATGAGCTCTTTCCTACATAGCTCTGTAACACTGCTGAATCTGTTGGCAGTTGGCTGAATCTGCTCAGAGAACAAATATTTCAGTTACACATTGGTTTCACTTCCTTTTGAATAAAGAGCAAAGAATTAATGGGCACACTAATAATTCAGGGCTAGAATACAGACTGTAAGCTATGTAAAAATGGCTTCATCGCCCTCTTTAGAAGCAGTAAAAAACAGGGTAATTCACTGAGGCCTTTTCATACTGACCACCATATCTAATAAAGAACAAGGAAAGAAAATTAATTATTTTCAAATCTTCAACGTTTGTGACAACATGTCTAACATATTACTGATTAACTTCAAATAAGATTAAAAGCACCTCACAAAAGATAGACCCCTATAAGTAACTGTGCATATTTAAAGGCTAGAAGACATGCTACTAGAGTCCTCATTCTCACAGGATGTTACAATAGCTCAGTTTTTTTCCTAGCTGCCGTCCGTATCTTACCTGCAGTCTTAGTAAATAAACATCAGAATAGGGAGCTGTCCGGCCAAGAAGAGCACTGTGGACTTGCAGTTCACTCTCTCTCAGTCTCTGCTCCAGCTGAGACATCTGCTGCTTTTGCCTGGAGTCCAAATCAAGCAAGGAATCTTACCATTTTGAATCTTTAGGCAATGCACAGTCACAGCTATACAACCAAAATATAAATGTCTTATGATCAGCTTAGGGGGCAGCACGGTGCAGCAGTGCTTAGCCACTGGACCCCTAGGTTTGATTCTGGACTTGGGGCGCTATCTGCATGGAGATTCTCCCCAGGTTTGTGTTGGTTTTGTCCAGAAGGTCCAGTTTCCTCCCACAATCCAAAGACATACTGGGAGGTTAACTGGCTTTTAGGAAAGTTTTCCCTCGTGTCTGTGTGTGTCCAGCGATTGACTGGTGTCCCGTCCAGGGTGCACCCTGCCTGGCTCCTGTGGCTTGTTGGGAGAGGCTCCAACTCCCCTGTTATCCTAAATTTGATGAAGCTCTTAGAAAATGGATGGATGATCAATTCAGCCCTTTCACAAAAAAAATTCATTCTGTTGCTGTCAATTTGGCAATTCTTAGTAAAAAAGGAACCTCCCCACAAACCTTCATATCCCTCCTTGCAAAGTCAAATTCATTAATTCACCAATGACTAATTGTGCACACACATGCACACTTGGAATTAAGAAGGATTCAGTACAAGGTACTTGCCTTTCAATGACCAATTCCTTCTCCTTAATTAGGCTTTCATTAGCTTTAATTACAGCATCCCACTTATTGCCTTCTTGATGCAGGACAGAGGGATACAATGAAGAATATTGTCCAGAGCCTGAGGAGAGTAACTGAAACATTGAGACATATTAGCTACAGCACATTAAAAAATACCACTAATACAAATTAGCAATAGCAGAGGAATCTTCCCAATACATATTTGCGATCAGCCTTTTTCCTGAGTCATAGAAAGAGCTGCATTAACAAAAATCTCTAACGGTTAGTACTTTAGATCTGTTAAATATATAACTGTGAGGCATTGTCATGGCTTATTCTTCCATCTCACTGAAACATAGCACCTTACCTGCATCTGCTCCATCTGCAGCCGAACGCTCTCAAGCTGCTGCTTCTGCTGCTGCCAGGCAGCCAGGTCACAGGAGCGATCCAGCAACCTGGAGTCATATCCTTTGGCATTCACCTGCTCCCTCATCCACAGCTGGGACGGGAAAGCCTGTGGAGCTGTGGCAGAGTGAGGTCCTACAGGCGCAGCACTAGAGTAACTGGGGAGGAAACCGTTCCTTGGCCCACACAGATCAGAGGCAGAGCCTGCGGCCTTGCTTTCTGGGAGAGCTTTGTAGGCTGTGTCTACAGAGCAATGGCCCTCTTTCCGTGCCTCAGTACCGTCAGGCTGGCTGCTCAGCTGCAGGCGGTACCTGGGGTCTGCATAAAAAGTGCTCAATAGTGCCGACTGGTTCAGAGTGGGTTCGATAGCAGGCATGTCAAATTTCCTGTACTCGTCCAGGCGCGAATGCTCGCTGTTGGGAAAGAGGGAATGGTCTAGTCCATTTACTACAGTCCTGTAATGACTCAAGCAATCGCCAGGTGCAGACTTTGCATTGGAATCTCCATTCACAAGAGTGCGCATTTCAGGGCTGGGAGACTCCTGCTTGGAGACAGGAGAGGATTTGCTGCTGGCGTCTTGATCTGCCCCATTCATCTGAGTGCAGGCTTGGTGTTTGCCCACAGTGTGCAGTTTGGAAGGCGACATGCCCACAGTGGAGGGCATGACATGAGCAGTGGGGATGGTGACTTGGCTCCTAATTGGCTGGAAGGAGGGGCTGCCACTGGAACTGTGGAAATCTGTAACAGGACATGGTGAACATCAGCCATGCTAAATGTACTTAAAAAGTCTTAAGCTACCTAGGGACGTCTGCTATTTTTTTGTAAATTGCCTATAAACTCTGGCTTGAAATCTTCCTTTTGACATGGAGTTAAGATCTATGGAGCAACACAGAAATTCATCAACTACGACCCTAGACAGCCCTTTTCTTAACGGTGGGAAAAAACAAAATCGGGTGTCTCTCACATTTTGAGAACAGCTGGGTCCAATCTCAAAGACAATGAGCAGCTTCTTCAGAGTACCAAAGACACGCATATGTCTTTTTAAATTAACATGATATCAAATAAGCTGAGGATCTGAAATACATTTTATGCCAAACCAAATGGATGATTTCCAGCACTCAGATTGAAACAAAAAAGGAAAACTTTAAGAACTGTCTGGTACATAGCACATACTTCATCTGCCCAGCACTTTTAGTAACACTGAATGAAAGTAATTCAGAGTTCATAAATGCTCTAAAGCAAAAAAAAAAAGAATTAATTTGAAACAAGAAAAAATAATGAGCATAACAGAATAAATGTTTAACATCAACAAAGAATGGGAAAGGGGAAGAGTACATTAGCGTTATGTGAATTAAGATAGAATGACATGCTTTCCTTTAAATAAAAATATATTTACAATAATTAGGATTAAAATTACACTGAAAAGTCAACTTACCTAGTTTCAATTATCAGAAAAAAAGACAACCAGTTTTTGCGGCTCCATTCACACAAGCAAAAGGAAAACGACGAAGGCTCATTTTTTATGCTGACAAGTGCTCATTTTTCAGGATCTGCTTATGTGGCACTCAGCAGAGCTCAGCAATCACCTTGAATTCCAAGATGATTCTACAGCTGCCCAACACACTGGCACCCACACACATCACAACACGGTGACAGAGAATTATATTCCAGAAAATTACAGGAGGGTGAGAGATTACACTTGTTATCCCCTTTTCCAGTCCTTCACTGTCTGTTCCACAGGAAGACGCACAGAAAGGTTAGCGATATTAATAGCCCCTCATTCTCAGGTTACACTAAATGCCTTGATCTGTATAAGCTTGTTATTTCAGTCCGTGTTTTTTACCCTTCTTCAAAAGCTGTACAGTGCACTCAAAAATATTGCTTTTTGCAAAAACCTTTACAAATCAAATTAGAGCTAAAGGTCTTGAAAACAGGATCCGATCCAATGGCTGCAGAAGCATATACATTAGACAATCAAAAATCAAATTTAAAATGGTTCAAATGAAAGCTGAAACTAAATAAAATAGAATTACTCACTTGCAAGTTACAGTATAACCATGCCCTTAAGGTATACCGACATCAATTGCTCTTTTATTACGAGTCAAGTCTAAACAAGGCTAAGCAACTCCAATATAAAGAGAAAAGTTTTAATTTCCTGCTACTTATAGGCTATTCGTAAGGATTGGATTGCACAAATAACAGAGACTATCTGGTCTACTTAATTTAAGCCGCAAGGAGAAAAAGAAAAATCTGATTCAAACATGTTACTAGGAATACCTTTTTAAAAATCCACCCCCAGCATGGTAAAGTTTCAGGAATTATCAAAATAAGAAGTATGCATATGTAGCTCTTTGGTTAAGGTTTCGCCTCAAGCCAGCCACAATTGCATTTGGGTATGTGCAGAAACTTCAGAAAGTTTCACAGTAGTTGCTTAATAGATATGAACATATAATTTGCCTGACAGCTCATGGGCATGTGTTCTTGAGCAAGAGAAACCCTAGTATCCTCAGCACAGAAAGTACTGCGTCAGTGAGCACATAGTTGGCATCTCCAGCACAGATGCCTGGAGTGCCTCCCTGTTCACCAGTGCACACTGTTTAGAGCAGTACACAAAACAAACCGGTAGTCAAGTACTGTAAAAGGCTAGGATTTGCCTAAACTGGTCATTTTGCTATCAAATACAAACATGCTTTAGGATATTCGCTGAGATCTTACTTTGTTTCCAATACAGGCGATACTGTCCCTGAAACATTACATATAACAATGAGTCCAGTTTTCCCATTTAAGCCTCCAATTTGATACTTCTTCATCATGAGGTTTACTCATGGAAGATATTCTTGGCCTGCAGTGAGTATATTTCTCCCTGCACACCACTTGGGTATCCCTGGAACATTACAACATCACCAGCTTAAAAATATCCTGTATTCCTGGAAACCAGGAGTCGTACAATACCATAAATACTAAACTGTGGAAAACCCGAAGTCCAATCTCCCGCTGCAAAAAGAGCAGTGTGTCAACAAAGACATAGGCTTAAGCTGCAGTCACGTGTGAAAACTCACCACATAAATGCTGCTGCAATTTCCTAAACGCACATTACTTTGCATGACATATCAAACTTCTCCAAGGCTGAGATCAACCACACGCAGTTGTACTTTAGACAAAGCCCATTTGACAGCAAGACCACGGTGCTCGGGCTGCCGGACAGAGGCTGCTCTCACCTTCAGTGCTGTCCGACGGGGTGGTGCCCAGTCCGGTATCGGCGCTGTCAGCGGTGCTGGGCCGCCGCCCAAAGCGGCTCTGGAACTTCTCCGACACAGCGGGTGTCTGCCACTCCATGTCCGGGCAGCCTGCTGCACAACGGAGGGAGACACCAAAACAGTCAGACCTGCGGAGACTCTCACGATGTCCGATAAGGACGACTAGGCCACGTGCACGCCTGGGCTCTAGTCTGTTCAACTGCATATTAATCCCAGAATACAGGGCTTACAAACCAAATATTCCATCATTAAAAGAGACTTACCAGTTCTGTACATAAACAACATTCTTTGCTCACAGGCCAATCTTTCTAAACGGAGAAGTGTTAAAAAGGTTCTAGAAAAACTTAAATTACGTACCATATTTCTCAGTTGTTTACAGCAGGGTCTTTTTGAAATTAAAATTAAAATACTGGAGATGGGATTCTCTCCAATAGTTAACACAAGGCAGCTATATGGAGAGAAAAGTTCTTTACTATAAAAAAGAAGCATAAAACTTATCTTTACAAAATATGAACCATTAAGTATGCCTGTACCACATTATAACTCAAATCCATACTAACACGAACGTTTACATCACTGTACATCTTCCCATCAGTTGCTTACAAAAGGCTTTTGAGAATTTAATAAACCTCAATGCAACACCGTCACATCAACAATCTGACCAATCTTCGATATTCACCTGAAAGGTTTGGGTGCTGGTACATCAAGTCTTGAGATCTCTGCAAGATGCTCATTTGATTCACTGACACCTGAGAGAAAATTGCAGTTCTGTAATCCATAACCTTACTGAAGAAAGCAATTCCAGGGCTCCAAATACCCTGACTAAAACTTAAAATCAGGCATGACATGATCTTTACAAGCCTGTTAATATGCTGAATCCAAAATAAAAAGCTGAAATCGCTTGGGATTCAACTGTGCTAAGCCATACATACTTACACGTTTATTAACATGCACCTGAAAACGTAATTTTAAAGGACTGATCTCCATCTCCCTTGCAGCTTCCAAAGAATTATTCAGAAAAGCACTTCTGCAGTCTTGACTAGAAACTAAAGCCACTGAACTACAATGTTCTCTCCACTACACTAATAAAGCCAATGCACAGACAGACGAGTGCAGTCGGGGATTAAAAAAAGCAAATCGCCAGGGACCAAATGTTCCTCCTGTAAAACAGCTTCAAATGTTGTGTCACGGGACCTGTGTATTGCTATGAAGGGGATCCTATGTCAGGAACACTATTGCTTTAAGCTGGTTATTACTCAAGCCTCACGAAGAGTGAGCAGTGTTACAAAACCAGAGCAGCAGAAATAAACAGAAAAGCAAAACATTACTATGACCTCTTAACCTCCAAGTTAAAAGAGACAGCGACTTCCTTTCCACACATTTAAGTACAAATCCAACATGAACTAACTGGACCAACCCTGCATACATTAGTCCCCTAAAGTGGAACATTTGAGCCCCCTTGAGCAAACTGAAACCACTAACCAGTGCAGTAGGCACATAATAAACGACCATGGGTGGCCTTTCCTAACTTGGAGTAACAGGACAGACCAGCTGTACAAAGTGAGAAATCACAGTCAATTGACAACAGCTGCAATCATTAATGTTTACCATTCAAAGTAAGCTAAACATGGCTTCAGGTCCCAAATGAGGAGGAATCTCTTCTGTACATTATATTAAGGTTGTTCCAAAACAAAAAAGAATTACTGTATAACATTGAAAAAATTGCTTTATAGACTGTTGCAGCACCTGCAATGATATTTGAATTAGATTTTACTGCACACTATCGAATACCATCAAATTTACACAGATCATTCCTTTACTTTGAATATCTCAATATCTGAGATAATAATCATGCTCACCGACCTTACCACGACATTTTTCAAAGCCTTCTATTATTGGTTTTGATTTTTTCCAAGTAACAATAGATTAATGCAAAATAAAATTCTGAATGTTTTATTTGATATGAATTACTGTCACACACAGCAATTACACCCCATTTACAATTAAGCTCAAAACACTTAAAGCAGACTCACAGTCAATTAATGCCAGCAGTTGTGCTTTCCCATAACTTTAATGGGAGACTGGATACACAGCTCAAGCAATTAATATTGATTTTAAATCCACACAATACAGTCCAGGCAGTTTCCAACTGACAAGCTCACCCATCAGAAGCTAAATATCAAGGTTTTGCATCCCATACTCTGATAACAAAAGTATCGTGATTCTCTAGAGTGGGAAGTTTCTATAAAGTGCTTAGTCCAATAGTATTTAATATTAATAATCTCAGCTGAATCTTAAAATCTGTATGACAAATTGCTCATTTAAAAGTAAAGTACCATACACGAATCGAGTGTATGCCTAAATAAAAAACAGAACACCAATAACCTTCATAGTCTAGCACAGTAAACACCACATATACAAAAATAAACAATTTGTTCCACGCACTGTAACAAAGTGATTTCTTCTGTTTTAACGCAGTGAGTTCAACAGCAGTGGGGCTTTTGGGCAGCGATACTGGGCTTCCTGACATCCACACAAAACAGCTGCAGATCAACAGAGGCAGGACTTGGAAACACGGTAACACAACAATTTCATGGTGGTAAAAAGATACATTTTCGCTCAAAGCCATATCCAGCTGTATTTAACTAGCACATTACATCCAAAATAATTCTCATAAACAACAAAGTAAAAAACAGAACCACTTTTCTAATCTCAAAAGTATTACAGAGAAATAACTTTGTATTTTGAACTTAATGTTAAGCAAAGATCTAGTTACATTTTGGCCAATTTCAAATGTATGTAACCTGCCGATTACAGTCGATATATTGTGTACGAATCGTTGGTAAGAACGCTTTTAATTAACTCTTACCTTTAGGTACTGAATTACGTCGAAAGCTTTGTTTTTTGTAAACGAAACCATAAATAAGTTCACCTGAAAATTAGTTACAAGAGTCTTCACACACTTTCCCCTGCTTTTTGTAACCGTTAACAAGTCTTTCTTTCGTGTGCTTAAGCTCCGCCTATTGATAAATCTAATTGGCAAAAGAAGACGCTCTGCGGTGTTGGATTGGATAATAAAGCTGTCTATTACAGAAATTCTTTATTTTGATTGGTTACCAACGAAATGCAAAAGTGTGTAGTTCGGTTGAACTTCAACGCTACGATTTGCTCTGCCGTAATGTTCCGAAAAGAAGAGTTTATAATTTTCGGTTTTTGAGGTTTTCTCTTTACCGTAGTTTTAACTTGCACGTTTAAGATCGAATGTAACTATTTGAAATTCGAACCAAAAATACATCAAAAAGTGAGGGATTAAAATGGAAAATTAGGCCTATATCTCGTTATTTGTCGCGCACAAACTTTAGCCTCTAGCTTGGTTTTATATTTATAATATTGTAGTCAACACTTACAAGAAAATATATTGAAGTTCAGATTACACGTTTAACTTGAGTGATATGTATTACCTCTTGTGGTTTAACTGTGTCGAGAAAGAGTATTTCTATGATGAATGTTTTACTCTTAGAAGAATGATGGTGTCATAATAACTGTTTTTACTTTATTGAAATAATATTAAGAATTGCTCACACTTATATAGCGCTTTTCTGGACACTCCACTCAAAACAATTTACAGTTAATGGGGACTCCCCTCCACCACCACCAATGTGCAGCATCCACCTGGATGATGCGGCGGCAGCCATAGTGCACCAGAACGCTCACCACACATCAGCTATCAGTGGGGAGAAGAACAGAATAATGAAGCCAATTTATAGATGTGAATTAGGAGGCCATGATTGGTAAGGGCCAATGGGAAATTTGGCCAGGACACCAGGGTTACACCCCTACTGTTCTTGAGAAACGCCCTTGGATTTTTAATGACAGCAGAGAGTCAGGACCTTGGTTTTTACGTCTCATCCAAAAAATGGCACCTGTTTACAGTACAGTGTCCCCATCACCATACAGGGGCATTAGGACCCATAGACTGCAGGGTGAGCACCCCCTGCTGGCCCCACTAACACCTCTTCCAGCAGCAACCTTAGTTTTGCCCAGGAGGTCTCCCATCTACATACTGACCAGACTCACACCTGCTGAGCTTCAGGGGGTTGCCAGTTGTGAGTTGCATTGTGATATGGCTATACCATATAAATATTTGTACAAACTCTTGATTAAAAATCATGAGTCAAAGAATTAGTCTATTACTGCCCATTGGTAACTACTAAGCTCTGAGTTAAGGTGCCGCTGTAGTATATTGTCTGTCAACCTGTCATTTCATTGTCCAGCTGGGAAGCTGAGGCTACTTCATATTTAATGACTAATTAAGATCTCTCTGCTTCTTTATGTATAATTTCATTGTGCTTTCAATACATTGACTGCAGCAAACATTTGAGTTTAGGATTGCAAAATTACCCTTAATAAATGGGTAGTAAATTGTTCATACAATTATAAAGCCTTCTAGAAGGAACAATATACCTTCTGCAAATAGGATTCTAAATTCTGCAATTCAGAGTTCAGGCTATGATCAGGGTAACTTTTGAATGAACAAAGTAACTTTTGTTGTGAACGTGAAAGCAGTCTTAGGTAGAGATGGGTAATTATAATGACATC